ACACGAAACCATTATTAATATTAGAAACAGAGATAAGCGATGATACAACTAGCTAATGTAATAAACGTGTGCACACGACAACGGTTAGACACTAACTGAAAAATATCAAATGTTTTAAACTATAAAGTACAAAAATTAATAATGAATAAAAACAAAAAATTTTTAAAACTATAATAGTATAATGTAGGTTGTAATAATATAACAATTTTATGATGTGGTTAATATGTACTTAATTTTTTTTTCTTTACAAATGTTTTCTTTTGTTGTCGATTTTGCATAGCACAATACTGCCGCATTCGCATTCTTACACAGTAAATACTTATCGTTTTTACAATTTCCGAAGAATGAATATCACATGGGAATGTTATTGTATAATTCTCTAAAAGATAATTTAGAGTTAATTGAAATACTTTATATAAAAATCGTACCCAATCATTATCATAATCAAATCGATTTTAAAAAAATTAAAAAGTTTTAATTTAAAATTCAAAATTAGGTATACAGCCTTGTTAGTTATGTCATCATAAGATCTACCTATTTAATATTTATATTTTATATTGTTCATAGGCACCATGTATTGCCATGTTGGGTAATGCTGACTATATATTATTATAATGCTTATGTCTATGGGTATTAGTGTGTATAGTAATAACTAATAAAAAATATCTATAGTCAAAGAAAATAATAATTTCCAATATTTTGTTTTCTTAAAATAGAATCTTTAGAATATACATAATATATAATATACGATAAGGAATCAGCGTTCGACGAGTTATTATTGTTTTTATTGCAAGTTTTATTTATATACCCACATTTCAAATGCTTGGAAAAATATTTTTTCCATTATTGTACATGATTTATTTCGTATATTTATATATACTCCGGCCCACGAGAGATCAGTACCGTCACGCGCATGCAGAATGACCGGCAGCGACGGTGTGGAGCCCAGTTTTCCCCACTATGTGCCGGAATGCCGCAATCGTCGCAATTGCCGACCGACACCGACAGTCGCCGAAACGCTGTGGTTGGTTGAGTGTTAGCGATTGAGTGGGAGATGCGCGAAATCGGACGAGTTTTAGTCGAATAGCGGTACTGATCTCTCGTGGGCCGGAGTATAGTTTGTATTATGGAGATAAGATAATATCTTAGTTCGTGGCCCGTGCGTCGTGCTTTTTAGTATTAACCAATAATAATGTACAGACAGTCCAGTTAAATAACCTAAAATAGTTTTATTTTGTACTTATTCAGTTTTGCTACGCGTCTGTCATATTTTGTCGTAGAACGTTATTAACGTATTCGTACTCGACCCTCGTGCAGTTTGCTGATGCGTGCCGCTCATGCGTGTTTATCCCAATACATATTTTGTCTGTTATTTACATGTTTTACACTCTGTAGTATAATATTTTTAAATTTGTATAATAATATATAATTTTAAATGGGTATACACCAGACAAATCCCGTAAAAATTTATTTTTTACGTACAATATTAACAAAAACGAATCGGTATGTAAAATTGAAGGATGTCGTAGACCCGTACTTAAGAGTAGTGTTAGTCACAATTTGGAAACGCACATACGAACAACTCATCCCGATGAAGCTCTTATATAGGATAAAGCTAAGGACGATTTAAAAAACCAGAAATTCATATATAGTGGTGTAAAGAGTCTAAATGATGAAGATAATTCGTGCTCGAATAAGGTACGTATTTTGTATTAAGAGGCCGTCCTGGTAGAAGTGAAAAATATCCAACGCTCAAGTGATGGCGTTGTGCGCCGTATGCCGCCGTCGCGGTAGGCCGTAACCACGCCCATCGTCTACACGACAAAGTTCGTGCGTCGAAATCGCGGGAGCGGTACATTATTATTTCACGGATGGTCGATTAGAACGTTTCGTGTCAATGCAGTTGCGTAAATAATCGCCCATGTATGTTTTATGTAGGTACTAGCATGCGGTACACAGGTCGCGACCTATTTATTAATTAAAGTTCCTGTTTGTTTAAAAATATCAACCAATAAATAAAGCATATCAATTATTATACACCATAACTCGATTTATATTTCTAACCCAATTACTTTTTTAAATACATAAAAAATAATAGTTTCATTACGATTAAATAGATTTTGTATTAAATATGTCGCGTATTTTACGTTGTAACTTATTGGTGACCTGGAGTACTTTTCGTACGATTGTTTGATCTCCTATATATACGTATTAGTACAATGTTTTAAATAGTTTTGATTATTATAAAATATATTGATGTAATTAGGTACCTATATTTAATTAAAACATAATTTAGGAAGTTGATTGTTATTTGTTGTACACATTATAATATCTTTTAAATAAAGACTTTGGGTAATTATTCACATTATTTAATTATTGTTGCAATTTTCAGTGCAGTAGGTAGTAATATGTACCTATGTAAAAAAACGACAGTATACACTTAGCATGTTCATCGTTTATAATATAGCATATAATATCATAATCTATATAAATTAAAAAAAAAAAAAATGGTGTAAAAAAATAAATTATTGATAAAAAAACAGTGAAAAATTGAATACAGTAAATATTTATGTGCAAGGGGCAAATTGGTGGACAACGTGTGTGTAATCACCGTATTGTATCACACGTGGTAAACCGGAGTGCTCTATGTATTAATCATATTAATTTCACTCTCATTTGAGAAATTAATTATATGATTATACTCACTATTGTGAACATAACATTTTCTGTATTATGCTCATGAGTCAGGGAGAGAAAACAAATAGTGTGCTAACATCATCTTAAGATTAAATGTTAAGAAATTAAATCAAAGGTTTGTTGCATAATGATTTAAATAAACAGTACTTACATCCTTTAAGTTTTTGATTTTTATATAATTATTTTCTTCGCAATGTAATATAGCTTTAGCAACAGTATTGGAAAAAAGTTGAGCAGCTAATCTAACATTCATTCTGCCTGTTCCCTCGACTGAAATATGGTATTGTGTCAATTTATGTGCCATTCTAAAATCCACATTATTTAAATGCACCAATTCTTGAAACATGTTTTTTCCTATATATTTTCCATTGGGAAAAATAAAACCTCTAATAGTTTGGTAAATATATTGGAATTATGAATTTAATTTTAATATAGTATAAGGTAAATCTACTTACTGATCAAGTAAATGATATCTTGCTAACTTAATTAAATGTGGTACGTCTCAAATAGGTACATAAATATTTTTGTTTGTAATAGGATGTGGGAATAAAGTGTTGGTGATTGACATATTTAGACTTCGCCATAAGCACATATTTGCAGAACCCATGTCATTGACTATGGAAAGTACCTTAAACCCAATTTTATGTAGCTCTTCAATTATATTGTAATGGGATTACGCAATTCATGTACAACGCTCATAATAACAAGAACCACTTATGTAGAAAGCGGCCTCGTCGACAGCACCCAAAAGTGGTCATAGCTAGAATAGACGCTTCGAACCACAACAAATTCCCAAGGGCGCCTATACATGCCACGCGCCGCTCAATTCAAAGGGCGTCGCCTAAGTATATTCGTATATATAGAAGCCAGGGCCCCAATCCAGATTAGATGTACCAGAGCCGCCAAGACCGAGCGAACAGCTTATGCACCAGCCATTAGACACAGCCTTACACGGATATTATCAACTACTACAACCAGTCAACTCACGACGCTGAAATTTCACCACGACTACATTAATTATTATTGGTTTAAATAAAGTACAATTGATTCATATTTAAAATTGACTATATTTTATTGTAAAAGTGCAACAGCTTTTGGATCCCTGAAGGGCCGTTCGTAACAATATAGTTTAGAATGTCTCTGATCATATGTGTATCAAAATTATAGTAGATAACTTGTTTCCAATTACTTAATAAACCTATTCACAAAATAAATTATGTATATTATACTATACAGGATGTAACAGAAAGATATGACAAATGAAATAACTTGTATTCTAATCAATATTTTTTTCATATAATTTATAGACGTTTGTACTACACGTTTAGTATAGACTTTTTTTTTTTTATTTTTTGTACAGAAAATGAGAAAATTTAAATTTGCTTTAGATTTTTTTGAAAAAAATCAAAATAGCCAATTTATAAACATAAAGAAAACAATTAGTTTTAGCGTTTACAGTATTTAATTTGAGTAATTCGTTTATGACTTATAAACGTTCAAATATTCATTCAACTTTCTGCTACCGGATAATTCACCAAAACCAAAAGTAATAAATAATACCCAACAGTAAAGACTAGAAGTCAAAACAAAATTACATCTCAATTTAATGATCCAAACGGTCATAATAGACATAATCCCCAATAACTTATAAGTAATAAGTACAAAGGTCACACGATTTGTACCCTCCTATCAGCTTGACCCCACTCACAGCACCGAGTGAATAACGTAAAGCCTGCAACAGCAGTATCATATTTAAAGTATGATAATAAAATTTTACAATTATTTGCAATCATGGTTACATAATATAACACCGATTACTGATTCTTGGTATACGGCTTTATCACCTACGTTTAAATATTATTAATTATTTTTTTTAATTATTAGATTTTTCAACTGCTTCACACCTAGCCATTACTGTTTGTACGCATTTATGAGGACCTATAATCTGTTCATATGCCTTATCATAATATATTCTTTTGGATACATATGTTTCATCGAAATAAAGAACGGTGAATTTGTCAGTCTTTCACCATCTAGAGTTAAAGTGCGAGTAACCATTAACTCGAAGTTAACAAAAAAAAATGGAATTCACGACTAGGAGTTAAGTGGTAACTCCTGGTTAGTAGAAATCTTGACTACCGGATTTTATCTCCAGATATTACTAGGGAATAACGAGCTAACTCTAGGTTATCATTTATAAATTTTTTTTTTTATCTTATCACCAATTGTCGTGAAATAATTGTGATTTCTTTTACACTTTACAATTTAATTTAAATAATACAATTGTTGTGAAATACTGAAATATGGATCACCGAATATTATTTAATAATGATGAGGATAACGAGCTCGACGAAGTGGTTATTGCAATGCAAGGACGACCTCGAATTTTTTACGCGCGAATTAACTACATCGAATTCTACGACAACCATGATTTCATAAACCTTCGCCTTTCGAAAGAAACGTTTCGCACTGTCTTGAGAATGATAGAAGCAGATATTCATCCACCTTCTCAAAGGTGAGTAACTTTTAATAACAGTATGCAGTTGCTATAAAAAAGACAATTATCTTATTGCTACATTTTCTGTTTTTTTTTTCAGGAACAGAGAAATATTAGCACCATCTAAGTTGTACATGATGCTTAGGTACTTTGCAACAGGCTCATTTTTGGTAACTGTCGCGGACTTTACTGGTGTCAGTGAATCCTCAGCTTGTCGATACATTCATCAAGTTTGTAGAGCCATAGCATAGGTCAAAATTCATTTATTTTCCAAAAAATGCAGTTGACATGAGGAAAGTAGTCTGTGGATTTTACAGCCGTAGTAGATTTCCTAGAGTATTGGGAGCTGTGGATTGTACTCACATAAAAATTCAATCGCCCGGTTAGCAAAAAACTTATAAATTAGGCTGTCATAAATAGGTTCTATTAACCTTTAACCTCAGATGAGGTTTCCTGTATGATTAAACTATTGTTTGTCATGAATGTTTCAGGTGGTGATAATGCGGAAACATTCCGAAACAGGAAAGGGTATTTATAATCCATTGCTTAAAATAATGGACATAGTGGCGCGATGGCCGGGGTCTTGTCATGATCAAATTATTTTTGATAACTCTTTAATCAAACATAAATTTGAAACAGGGGTCATTAAAGGATACCTACTAGGAGACGGTGGTTATGAAGTTAAGCCTTACCTTATGACACCTCTGCTGAACCCTACTACACGAAGCCAGCAGTTATACAACGAAAGCCAAATCAGGACAAGAAATACTATTGAAAGGAAAATATTTCTTTGTATAATATTCATTATAAATGTAAACAGGTACACACATAGGCGTGCAAAGGATTTTGGTTCCAGGGGGCACATTAAAAATTAGGGCCCATAAACATGGTTTTGCACTTAGTCACTTTTGACATGATGGCGATGAAATGAGAATAGGCATTGTCTCAATTACTTTTATAATGTTATTTGTTTTAATTTTTCAGATGTTTTGGTGTTATCAAACGAAGGTTTCCTGTGCTCAGCAAAGGCATAACAGCAAGTTTAGTTAATACACAAGCAATAATTGTGGTGTGTGCTGTTATACATAACATTTGTATTGATATGCACGATGACCTTCCAAATGACGAATTTCAGCACGAGGGCTATGATAATGTGGATATTGCAGAAGAAAACCATCAAAATGAAAATGTTATAGGAGTTGTGAGAGGTAGACAAGAAAGAGATATTCTGATCAGGGATCACTTTGCCAATTTAAATTAGAGTGAAATATTACTATTATTTTAACACTAATTAACAGCAAATGTATATTAATATTTTTTAAAATTGAAAGCAATCATAGAGAAATTCTAAAGAAATCTAAGGTTTTCTATTAATAATTATAATTGAAGTACTTTGAATATATTTTTTTAAATATTTGTACAACATGTGTTGTTTTGTGAAGATAATACCAAAGGTATCCTAAATACTACAAATTACATTAAATAAATATTTTTTATCTATTTTTATAACTTGGAAAACTATAGGAATAGAAATATTGTACCTATTAAAATAAAATACGTTTTGTCTATTTCATTGATTTGTCGAATTTTCTTATAAAAGCTAACATATAACTGAACAAATAATAAAATAACGTTATAACTTATACAATGATTTTGTAATTAACAATTCATTATATAGCTGATAGCCATGTCACTATCATAGTATTGCAGATTATGGACATTTATAACCATTGTCATCGCTCATTGAAACAATACAAAAATATATTGACAAATAGAGTTTATCAATGATTTTTGTATTGATTCATCTTTTATGATCAACCAATTAGTGCATATTGTTAAACTAAACAATAATATTATAACCTATAGATCATACATTGCATTTTTTAAACAATGGAAGTTAGATAAGATTCTTTATATTAATTTTTAATAAGTAATCTTAATATTTTGTTTTACATAATACCATTGTTTAAATAATAATTATAATACATATTTAATAATAATAATAACATTTAACAGGTAAAATATTATACTCTAATAATTAGATAAAAACATTTGTGTTAATTAAAAATAAACAATTATTATCATTATTAGTTATTAATTTTTTTTTTCAGTAGTTTAATTTTTAGCAAAAATTTTTCTTCTTCTAAGGCAACATTCCTTTTTTTACGTCGTTCATTTCATATTCTTGTTCTAGGCATTTAATTTGTAATTCTACAAGTATATCCCTATTCTTTAATAAGTTTGTTGCCTCTGAAGACCTGCTCTTGGATCGTTTGTCTGAAAATTTAAAATAGTGCTATACAGTATGATTTTAGAATCTAAACTTGCTAATGTAATTGTAACTCACAATTGCTTCTAAGTGGAGTGCTTATACGCTGTTTTAAATTTTGATGTGTTACAACATTCCACTGCAGTTTTTTACTTGCCCCTTAGAGAAAAGAACATTTTAAAATTTATATTACTTTTATAATCAGGGATGACAGCAATGGGTTCTTCAATGTCACCAGGCATAACTAAAAAATAATATTACCCATATTATATTTTAGAAAACAGTTCTAAATTGTAACTGTTATATTATGAAATTTAAACTTACCAGTCACGTAGCAGTTATCTTCAAAATCAACTTCATTGTCTTCAAAAGTTTCAGCGTCTGAAAAATCAGACAACATCATCAAAACTATATAATTATAATTAATTTAATATTGTATCCTTTTTTTTGAAATACGGACATACGCTCACCCTTACAACATAATTTAATATTACCTATCATGTCATTGTTGCCACCAAAATCTGCATCACTATCAAAAACCGAAGAGAGGCCATCAACAGACAGTCGTATAATGTCTTTTACTTTTTGCTCAACATCATCGAGAGGTTCAGCCTGGTTTTTTCCACCTCCTGTCATTATACCTTCCAATGTTGAATATGAGAGAGGACAATTTATAAAATTGAAAAGAAATGTGAATTGTCATGAAATAAATCTCAATCGTCCTTACCTTATTGTAGCACTTTTTTTCCGTACAACTTTTTTTAAGTTTTTGTACTTAAGCTGCAACTGGGCAACAGTCCTTGGAACTAATAATCCTAAGCTGTTGAACTCAGCAGTAAGTTTTACCCAACATGCCTCTTTATCTTTCCACATTATGGAATCCGTTTTTTTGTTCTCGATGACTTGTTGGTATTTTCGAACCAACTCCACAAGAAATTCCTCCTCTCTTTTGTTAAAATTGACGTTTCTTTTTCCTTTTAGTTCTTTGCTTGGTTCCATATTAAATACAAGAAGTATGTATAGAAATAAAGTAAAACACAACTCAACTCACAAACACACAAATCGCCATCACACAAATACAATTTAATATTTAAAAAAAAAACTGAAGACGAAGTGCTAACTGGCAACATTTAAAAAAACTTATCACACCAACAGTTATCTGTATTCAGTGTAATTAATTCTATCAGCGGTGTTATCAACACTATCAGCGGAATATGAGGGGAAATTATGGTTAATACCTTGAAAGAACTAGCTAACTTCAGATTTACTAACATCCACCAATAATCTGTAGGTGAAACTGAATTAATGATAACTCAGGATTACTGGTAAACTCGGAGTTAACTAATCTACACTTTAACTCCTACATGGTGAAACCGGCCTTAAGGATCCTTAATACACATATAGTATAATATTAATATTCATTTCTGTACGAAGGAATTTTAATAACTTTTGTATATACCTTTTGCGTCCATTAAAGTAATCACACTTGATAGTATTCCATGTTGGACAGGAAATGTTGAGGCCCATTTTCTCAATCTGGATAAACCTACAATTAATTTGATGATTTAACTACTTGGGACAAGTGTATAATAGACATATTATTTTAACATGGTAATGGAAATTGCTTTTCATTTTTTAAATAGCGATACGCTTTAGGAGAATTAATACTCCTTAGTGTTATTGCTGACGATATATCCTCTGGTTCCCACGAGTAAACTTTATTTTTTGGATGGAGTAACAATTTGATTTGAGTAGGACTCAACAAGTTATTTAATATATTATTAAATCTATTTTCAAATCTATAATTTTCTAAATTAATGAAATCATTAAATGATTTCATTTTTGTGTTTTGTGATGAAACAATAGTTAAAAGTTTATTATTTTCTAAAACTAACTGTTCATTCTCATTTTTCAATCTAAAAACAATAAATAATTTATTATAAAATAGTAATTATTTAATAACTTATATTCTATATATTGGCAATATTATCCAAGATTAGGTTAGCTTTGGACTTAGAAGTAGTAGGGTTGTCAGTGATCATAGGTTATAAATTTAACTCCACTGGTGAAAAGAAAATCATTGGCATTGAGAAAAAATTTGAACTAGGTTAGTATTGATAATGGTTTTGAAAATTGTAAAATAATGGAAAGAGAAATAAAATATTATACATAACATTTTGCTAAAATATTATTATTATTATATTGTTTCATTAGAAGCTGGTCATATAGGTTGGGTTCTATTTGTATTGTTACGTACAGCCCTTCAGGAATCCAAAAGCTGTTACACTTTTACAATAAAAGATAGTCAACTTAAATATAAATCAATTGTAGTTTTATTAAAACCAATAATAATTAATATAGTCGTGGTAAATTGTAATGTCGTGAGTTGACTCGTAGTAGTTGATAATCTCCGTGTAAGTTGTGTGTAATGGCTGGTGCATAAGCGGCTCACTCGGTCTTGGCGGCTCTGGTGCATCTCATGTGTATTGGGGCCTTGGCCTCTATATATACGAAGGTGACGTCCTACCGCGTGGCATGTAGGCGCCGTTGGAAAGTTGTAGTGGTTTTTAGCGTCCATTCTAGCTATGACCACTTTTAGGTACGGTCGACGAGGCCGCCTTTTACATAAGTGGTTCTTGTTATCATGAGCGTTTACATGAGTTGCGTAATCCCATTACAGTATTTATCGAAGGTGTTACTGCTGGCCGAGAAATTTCTATAAGACCTTTTCAATGTGTCATTAGACGTACATGGAAAAAGCACAAAGATAAGAAGAGTTAATAAAATATTTGTATAATTACTTTTGTAGCAATTCATCATTGTGTATTGCATCATCCAATGACTGTGTTCCCGATAGATCAGACTTTGTATTCGAAAATAATTTTACCCTACAGTCTTTTTTCAATAATTTGTTATCACTAAGAATTAATAAATCAAATAAACAATATGCATTATAAGAATAAAATATTGGCTAAAATTAAGATTTATTAATTATTGTATTATATTACGTACCAAATAAAATACTTTCTGATGTCAGTTAGAGTGTTTCCCAAATTGTTCACTTTTTCAACAAAAAATATTCCACTGGGAGTTTTAATGGGTGACAAATTAATAATATCCTTAAAATCATTGATACAAAGTTAATAGTTAAAGTACATTTAAGGTTATTACTATTTAATTCATGTTGTATTATGGTTTCTACAATTCATACCGGTCGGAATTATCTGAATTCATGAATGCACTAGTGTTAGTTGGAGTTTTTATAAATATTTCCTCCTTTCTTAAATATGGCACATCGTCATAATCAAAACCCAAAGTGCTATACAATGTAATAAAGGGTGGTCTAAAAAACCAATGATCATTAATATTTACCTCCTACCACCTGAAGTTATTCTCTATAGTCTAAAAATAATTTATCTATAAATATTAATATAATATAACTATTTTTGAGTCATCCCAAGCAACTGAAAGTTTGTTTCATTTTACGGTGTATACCTATATACAATACCAGCGTAATGTTTTGTAATTATCTTATTTTATGATATTATATCTTATCTTTTTTCTCGGATATGGTCATGTCAACGACTATAAATAAGTATAATATTACATAGTACAGCATCGGCCGGGTTTTCACATGATATAAGGCTTATCGGTATATTACGATGGTGTGTATATGGTTTATTGTTCGACGAATTACGTTTTCAGTTGACTCTGTGTGGTTTTAAGTGCCGTTTGTTAATTTGTTATTCTGTGGTAAATTAGTGATATTTCAATATTAAATTGTTTAATTGTTTAATAAGTATAAAATGACCACATGGAGTCATACTTCTATTTACTTGGTTGAACAGCCTATTTAAGGTATACCTAGTATTCGGTTACCGTCTAATGGTGAAGTATTGGTTTTTTTTTTTTCAAATGTACCGAATCGAAAAGAAATCATTCAATTATGCATGCGTTAAAGTGATTGATCAAGTGATATTTGTTTGGAATAAAGCAAGAATACCGACAACCAGGAAAGATAACGCAATTAATAAGTTTAAAAAGCTCTACAACCAATTGCTTTATCTTTTTAAACATAAAGATAGAAAAACAGAGCTTCACCGTCAACAAGTATGTGGGTTTCGTTTAAAAATGGCTAATCTTTTTGATATTGGTGATGCTGATGCTTTAAAAAAAATAATGATTGAAGAAGATAGGCAATTTTTACTGACACAACGAGAGCTAGGTAGAAGGGGTTTTATATCTACAGAGGACGTGTTTACTACCCAAAAAGATAATCGTAAAATGGAGCGAGAAGAAAAACTACGGCTATATAAAGAAAAGGTTGCCAATCGTAATTCAAGTAATATTTATGATTTTACTTCATCAGACACGGAAGAAAATCATTCGAGTGACAATAGTTCCGATGATGATTTCAAAGTTAAGGAAAAAAAATTAAAAAAAGTCATTGCAAGCAAAAAGAAATTGAAACCTTTAATAACTCCAGAATTAGCAGGTGTGTTGGATAGAACTAAAGTCGGTGATCGGCAAGCAACTTTTATCATTGGAGATACAGTAAAAAGTTTAGAGGAGGATATTAATTCTTTTGCGTGTAGCCGTAGTACGATTAAACTACATCGTGAAAAAATAAGGCAAGATATGGCTAGTTTTATAAAAGAATCGTTTACACCAAACAGCAAATTAACTGTTCACTGAGATGGAAAAATCATGTCTGATCTCACATCCAGAGAGCATGTAGACCGCCTCCCAATATTGGTTTCAGGAGGAGAATAAGAAAAATTACTAAGTATAAAAAAAATATCATCGTCGACTGGAGAGGTGCAGGCTAAAGCCGTTTTTGATTGCTTGAGTGATCAAGAATGGAAATTAAGCCAAAATATTGTTGCCATGTGTTTTGACACGACGTCCTCGAACACCGGGAAAAACAAAGGTTCTTGTGTACTATTGGAACGTAAACTTGGAAAAAATTTATTTTGGCTAGCATGCAGACATCACATATTTGAGTTGGTTATTGGAGCAGCATTTCAAGCAGTCTTGCCTTCAGCTATATCAGGGCCTGATAACCGAATTTTTGTACGTTTTCAGTCTTATTGGTCAGAAATTGATCAGTCAACATATATCACAGCCAACCCAACTATTATTCTCAGGATTGCAGATAAAAAACGAAACGATATAGTCAGTTTTTGTCAAATCAAACAAGTAAGAGACGATTATCGAGAGCTGTTGGAATTATCAATTATATTCCTTGGCAAGGAACCCACCAGAGGTATCAGGTGTATGACTCCATTTGCTACAAGCAATGCACGTTGGATGTCAATGGTAATTTACTATTTGAAAATATTTATGTTTAGTGAGAAATTTAATTTGAATGTAAAAGAGAAAAAGGGCTTAGCAGAAATATACATTTTTATTGTAACTGTCTATATAAAAAATTGGTTCACAGCATCTTTTGCGATATATGCTCCGAACAATGATTTACAGCTGATGAAGACCTTAATTAACTATGATAGTCCAGATATTTCAAATGCCACAGTAAAAAAAATGATGGGACATTTGTGGTATTTGTCAGATGAGTTAGTTGGTCTTTGTTTGTTTGACCAAAATGTCTTAGTAGAAACCAAGTGTAAGGTCGTCCACGCAATGATTAATAACCCTTCCCAAGAAGTTCGGGATGTAAGGCCAAAAATTAAAAAACATGATTTAGAAAAATTGCGACTTCATGATTTAGCAAATCAAAATACAATGAGAATTTTCATAGAATTTTGTGTTGAAATATTCTGGGAATATTATGGGAAATATTATGGTAAATTGGAACGATTCTAAAAGTTTCTTACAAAGAAGCATGTTTTTCGGGATCCAGTGCTGCACGTCGATGGGTGCCCGGTAGCCGTTAAAAGGGCAGTAAGGTACTTAGGCGTTCAGTTAGACACCCGCCTCTCATTCGGTGAACATGTGGAATCGGTGACGCTCGGCAGGCTAATGCCCAACGAAGGTGGTCCAGCCCAGTGCAAACGCAGCCTGCTGATGGGCGTGGTTACAGCCGTCTGCTGTACGGAGCCGCTGTCTGGTGCAGAAAGTGGCGAAGTACAGGAATCTGATGCTTCAGAGCCAGAGGTGCGCTGCCCTCAGAGTGGCGAGATGTTACAGGACGGTCTCGGACATGGCTGCACTTGTTCTTGCAAGGATGCCGCCAGTTACACTGCAGGCAGTTGTGCGCAAGCACGCCACTCCTTTGAGGTATAAAGGTGCGGTCTTGACAGCGCAGCAGAAAGAGGATGACACGATTGGTCAATGGCAGGCGATGTGGGATACCTCCAACAAAGCTGCGTGGACGAAGTCGCTCATCCCGGATTTGCGAAGATGGTGGAGTCAAGGACCGAGGGAAGTCAGCTACCACATGGCCCAAGCCCTAACGGGCCATGGTTGCTTCCAGAGCTATTTGTGGTGAAGAAAGAAAGCCGCGAACCAGGGGTGCGTACACTGTCCGGCTGTTTTTGATGACGCCGAACACACGCTATTCGTTTGTCCATTCTGGGATGCAGCAAGAGCGGACGTTGCTGCGGCGATAAGGAAACCAGTTGGTCCTGACGATGTTCCGTACTTTTTGTGCGGCCCTGTTCCGCAAGAGCTTCCGGAGGTGCCGTCCTAGCGGATAAAGGCAATTGCTGCATCAACGAGGCACAGGGAGTTGTTTCAGCAGATGGTGGAGGCCATTCTTTCCAAAAAAGAGAAACTGGAGAGGCAGGGGCAGCACCAAATGAATGCATGACAGTTTAGTTCAGTTAATTGTTGTGGGCAGAAACGGCCAACCAGGGTGGTTAGAGGCCCCCAGTTTATTGTAAACGTTTAATGTTGTAATGTTATATTATTGTGTTTGTTATTGACTCAATAAATGATGCAGCCAGGGAGGCAGTAATGGGGAATTCGAGCTCCCTCTTCTTGGCTGGCCATCTTCCGCAAGTGAAAAAAGTGTGTTCGGCGTCATCATTCTCATCCCCACACGAGACGCATTCAGCACTGCCCACGCGCGCGAACCTATGTACATAAGATTGGAAACACCCGTGACCAATTAGGAATTGGGTTAGGTGATATCCAATCCTACCGTGTTTTCGTTTAACCCAATTGCTTACGTTAGGAATCAGCCTTCTGGTCCATTCACCGGTCTTAGTACGCTCCTCCCATTCTATCTGCCACCAATGGACTATCCGCTCTTCGGCGAGCCGCTTCGCTTCCCTTTTGTCCATGCCGTATGCGTTCCTGGTGAGCCTCCTTGCATCAGTCCTACCGCGTGCTGCCAAGTGTATCGGGGTAAAGCCCGCTACAACTAGGATCGCATCTGTTGGCGCTGTCCGGTAAGCACTTGCCACCCGAATGGCCATCCCCCTCTGTGGAGCGAGTATCAACTGACGGTGATTCTGGAAAATCATTGACCCGCTCAAAATTGGTGCGGCGTACAGTAGTTGATTCTCCACTACTGTTGCTAGCAGTTTTCTCCTACTTGGCTTCGGGCCACTAGCGTTCGGCATTATTCGGGACAGTGCTGTCGCTGTCTTCTCAGCTTTACAGCTCACCAGGGACAGGTGTGTCTTATAACCGAGCGTAGAGCTGAGCTATATACCGAGGTACCGCACATGGTCGCTTAGCTCTAGTAGTGTCCCCTGTAGCCAGAAGTTCGGTTTTTGGAACGCCCTCTTGTTGGTCAGCATAATGGCCTGGGTCTTGGCGACCGATATGCTTAGCCCGTTGTGGTTGACCCACTCTGCTACTATTGCCAGCACTTTATTCATGGCTTCTTCTAGTAAATCGGTGGTGTGTGCCGTGTTCACTATGGCAATGTCATCGGCGAAGCCGACTTATTGCATTCCAGTCGCAGTAGGTCGTCGTGAAAGATGTTTCACAGTAGGGGGCCGATGACAGAACCCTGTGGAACACCGCGAGTTACCGCCATACTCCCTGCATCCGTCAGCAGCTGGCGGTCGTTCAGGTAGCTTCTGACGATATTCTTAAGGGTATCCGGGCACGCTTTTCCTGCACAGAGCTTCCTCAATCTTCCTCTATGGCGCAGTGTTGAAGGCGTTCGCGACGTCAATCGCAACCAGAGCGCAGAAATCACGGCCGGCGAGAGCGCCCGACCCGGCACGTTGCACTATTCCACTGACCAGACCTAATTCCCTGGAACAACATGCTGCGTTCTGGGCGAGAAGGTCAGCAGGGGGCACCCCGGACTGGATGTTTGATGCCGTTTCTGAGACGCGCATATACTTCTGAGTAGGGAATTCCTCTGGACCCTATTTATGTGCACCACGTTGCCCGGGACATACTCCAACGTGTGAGCCCATGAGGGGAAACCGCATAGCAGGACGGACTGCGTAACTGCCACGTACAACTTTCTTCGGAGCTGTTTTGGCCCACCACTTTTAGGTATAAACCGCGCTAATTGATTTGCCGTCCTTTCGGTCTTTCGGTTTGCTGCGGCATCATAGGTGTGCTCTTTGAACAACAGCTTCCCATCTACCACCATCCCTAGGTACTTCATTTGCTGTTTCAGCACCAGTGCTTGCCCGTCAAGTAACAGCGCGGGATTGCCATGTTTATACTTGTATGTAAACAACACCGCCTCCGTCTTGTTTACCGCCAGAGACAGTCCAAGCCTTCTTATTTCTCCGGAGACACGATTAAGAGCCTCGTTGGTCTTCTGCTCTAGCTCCGTGATGGTCGCCCCAGGCACTATGACCATGGTGTCGTCGGCGAAACCCAGAAGCTCGGTTCCCGCCCGGGAGTTGCAGGCTGAGTACACTGTCGTATGCAATATTCCATAGCAAGGGTCCAACCACCGACCCTTGTGGTACACCACATGTCACCCGTACCTCGATGCTGTTGTTCCCGGCCTGTGTTTCGGCCGTCCTTCCCTGCTTAGCGCTGACATTACCTCCGTCCACTCTATGCTGTTAAACGCGTTTCGTATGTCAAGACTGATGGCAACACAAAACTTCTCGGATGGGAAATTGATGGCTGCCAGGATGTTGCAGTTTCAAGACGGCGTCATCCGTGGATATTGCTTTCCTGAAGCCGTGCTGGTTGGGCGACAGGCCACCTCTGGACGTAATGTGTTCCTCCAACCTTGCCACAAGCATCGTCTCGAACACCTTACCGACGAAATTTAGAAGGCAGGTCTATACGAGGACGGTTCCCCTTCCGGCTTACCCGCTTTCCTCAAAAGCACCACTTGCGCTCTCTTTCATCCAACTGGTACGGCTATATCTCTAACACACTGGTTATACAAGCCAATCAGCATGGACGGACAGAGTAGGTGGACCGTGCTCAATATTCGTCCCGTTATATTGTCGGGACCCACGGCGGTGGCTTTTCGCTGGGCTCTATGTACCGCCCTGTTCACTTCCTCGATGGTGAACGGAGGGAATTCCTCACCCGCCGGAAATATTTGGGTTTCCAACGAGGCGCGTGACGGGAAGAGGATGTCGATGATCCTCTGCACGGATTCCGTCTCCATTTTGCTGGTCGCTGGGGGGCCTTGGAGCTTACGAGTGACCAACTTATATGGCTTGCCCCAAACGTCCCCATCGATAGACTGGATGAGCTACTTCCAACTGAGGGCTTGCTGCGGGTGATTGCCATTCTAAGATTCATCCGGGCCTCTTTGTATGCTCTCGATACAGTCTATAAAGTTTCTTCTTCGTGGGCAGTATCGACGACAAGGCCTTGTGTCCTGATTCGATTGCGGAGACGGTGTAACCTAGCGCTGCACCTCATTTTTCTCCGTCTCGCAGCGATGCAGACTCCGCGTTGGGTCGCAATTTCAGGGTTCCACCAATGCACCGGAGCCTTCCCTGGGGGAATGGGCGCCCTGCTCTCTAGGTCACAGTAATCATCTCTTCGACTGCTCTCGGCGCTCACGCCCACTGTTTCGCGTTTGCCGCTTCGGAGTACATATCTGGGTCGCCTATCCACTGGGCCAGGGGCAGTCCGCCTTCCATTTTTTTGGGCGCTAATGCCTGCCTAAGTTCTCCAGCCCCTCAGTTTGTTCTGAGTGGCGCCTTCTGAATTCCTTTCGTATCTAATCTTAAATTCAATATATTGGTGGTCCGACGAGCTCTCAGCCTCATCGCAGACACGCCAGTCCTGGATGCAACTTGTGATGTGCTCAGAGACGGCTGTTATATCCACGATTGAGCCTCTGCCTCTTCCCGCGAAGGTTGGTTTGGACCCCTCGTTCATAACTATTAACTCCAAAGAGTCGAAGAGGCTGCTCAACTCGTTGCAACGCAGATCCTGACACCAGTCACCCCATACTGCAGATCTTGCGTTAAAATCACCCGGTTAGGGTTAGGTTAACCCTAAACTCAGAATCTCTATGAATCATAGCTGCTGTAATATCACTGCCTGCTAGCCATATAGCTGCTCTTCTGGTACCAGAGCTCACGAGTCATGAGCTGCAATCACTAGGAGCAGCGTGGGGATCGCTCACCAACGCGACATCCACCCTCTTTTCAGCAACGTACGGCCGAAGTAGATCCTAACCTAACCTGCAGTGGTTCAGGTTGCACTGGATGAAATTAAGCATCAGTGCCCATCCTCTGTGCAGAGCTTACCCCAGCACTTTCTTCCTACTCAGCCGTAGCTGGAATGCTCCGCGACTTCGCGCCACTGCAGTCTTTGATTAGGTGACCGACTAGTCGACAGCGGAAGCATTGTTTCGCTTGTTCGGGAGAGCACTTGAAGCACTTCAGACTTTTGGGTTCGAGAAGTTTTACACGGAAACAACTCCAGCCGATTCTAACTGTTTTATTCTCAGCCAAACGCAGCGCAGCTACCATTGGAATTTCAAGCCGTACCACCCTACCGCCACCTATGTTCTCTCTCACCAGGACTTGGGTTTCCAAGAGATTCTCGTTCACCATTAAGACTTCTCTGGTTATGTCCTCAGGACTAATCCATTCGGGAATGCCAAGGAGGAGCACTGACGTCTTGCGGATCGGTCTGCCTACCGTCGCATCTACACCGATTACTTGACGCATACGGTCAGCAAGTTTTGAATGTTTTTTCTTTTTAGCATTATTTTTGTTTTGATTTTTATTCATTACAAGTGTGTACTGACGCATTCTCATTATAATGTAATCAGATAAAATGAACTTTAATATTTCAGTTTTGTGATCTGGACATGGAAATTTGATTGAACCATATTCTTCAAAGAAATTGAATGAGTGAGCTCAAAGACATAATTACTGTCACAAAACTTTGAAAATGAGTCTTCAACGGCTGACAATATTTTAAAAACAAATTATTTGGATAGATCAAACCGCCTTTGGTTTTTAGATTAACCAATGTAGCTTTTGGTTTATCTGAATACATTTTTGAACCTAGGAAAATAATTTACTTATATAATATCTTATAATTGTAAATATATTACCTATAATTAATAACACATTTTTAAATTTAATGTTGTATAGTTTTAATTAATAATACTATGTTAAAAGGTACCAATTAATGCTTTTCTGCAAAGTTCACAAGTAATGCGCTTGGTGTAATTTTTAGTTATGTATCCACAAATGTAATAAATAACGCAGTCTTTAGTTTCAGCTTTAAAGTAACTGTGTATACTTGTATCAAACACAATATCAATTTCGGTTTCTTGTACAACCAGCATGTCCAATTTTTGTTTCAATAAATACATTTTATTAGTACGCTCTGTTGTATCATTATTGAAGACATTTTTTAAGTCATCAATAGTTATTTTTGGTGTACCACTGTCTAAAATTTTGCAATTCCCTGTTTTTGGTGGCTTCAAAATAGAGTATACAGATAGGGTCTTGTATATTTGCAAAAATGTTGATGAACACGGATGATCATTTGGTCCACTTACTTATCTAGCAATAACAAAACATTGCTTGTTAAAAAAAAAAAATACATTAATTAGGTACCTAGCACGATTTAAGATAGTATGGTTGCCCAACGAGGTATGATAAGACGGCATTGGATTTAAATCGGACCCCCGTTGCTAGCGTTTCTAGTGGACTATTTTATAATTGATAATATAATATGATCAATATATAAATTTTTATTGTATATACAGGGTGTCCCGTGAGGATTTACTCATTAGCCGTAGAGGAGGACTCGCCGCCCGGACAAAAACCAGTTTATTGACGTTTTACTAATAAACTAAAAAAAATATTAAAAATCATGAGATTAATGAAAATAAAATGTTAAAAGCTCAAAATGTTCACAAAAATATACTCTATAGAATGGCTATCTTCAATTTTTTTCAAAAATAAAAAATTAAAAAATTATTTTTTTAATTTTTTTACTAAAAAATTTAATTTAATTAAAAAATAAAATATTTGTAGTGCTTACCTCTGCGAGTCTTAATAAAAAAACATAATTACGATATCTCCATTATTTCAGGAGATATCGCAATGAGTAAATCCTCACGGGACACCCTGTAGATATAACATAACAATTTTTATTAGTTTTGATTTGAACCAATATGAGCGCTGCATGCGGGGGTCCCCGTAAATCACGTGACTTTTCGATTCAAACCGTATGCCGTGTGATAACATTTTTCTAATGGGTCGATGGGCAACCCAGTGTTGCCAGGTGTGGCGATTTATCGCCAAAGTGGCGATTTTGAATGATTGTTTGGCGGAGATATTTGACTTTTGGCGGGTGGCGGAAAAGTTGGCGATTTTCGATTCGAAGTGTGAGATTAATGGCGACTTACTACTAAACTACTATAATCAATGGTAATAGTGGTAATACTTATCACAATATCAGAAAATTGATGATAGGCATGTTTTTATCACATTAATTTTGTTTAAATAAGTTATAAAATATATTATCAGATTTATTGTTGCCTTCTCAACATTTTAAATAGTTATTTTTAAACAATTACAATGATTATCAAGGGAAAACCTAGTCTAAGATATGTTGCATATACATATCTGCTACATACACATACACGTACGAAGTACGTAAAAAAAAAAATCACGCATTGAAGCCATTGAAGGTTTATACTTTAAGCGTGTCAGCAATCAGCCCGCAGCCGTCAGCTTTTACTCGCTAGTCCTGAAGATTGAAAAATGGGTAAAATTGAAAAACTCAGAAAGTATAGAAAATCATGGGAAAATGAATTATAGGCTAAAGGTATGTGTTAATATTTTTAAAACATAATATAATCGGTCAAAACTCAAAATGGACTTTTTGTCTCCACTGTTTCCAGAATTTTCGTCCTGGATTCAATATAACCAGATCAAAATTAATTTGTATAATTTTCTTAATTTTTAAGGTTGGTTAGCACCAGCTGATTCAACTGCGAACACAGTTGCAGAAGCTTATTGTAAAGTATGCCGTTCGTTTTTGAGAGCACATGTAACCGATTTGAAAAGGCATGCAAAAACAAAAATCCACAGTGATAACATGGTCCAGTTGAATCCAATGAAAAAAGATCAGTCTGTATTAAGTAACATTGTTAAAATATCTAACGAACAAAAAATTATAGATTTGAAATTAGCTGTCTATGTAAGTACACACACTTCAATTATGAGTGTCGATCATTTGGGTGAAATATTGAAAGTGCTTGGCAAAGGTACTGCATTAGCCAATTTAAAACTTCATCGAACTAAATGTTCTTCATTGATTCAAAATGTAATCGCACCAACCTTACTTGAGGAACTTGTGCAAGATATTGGCACAAATTATTACTCATTGATTATCGATGAATCCACTGGAGCTTAAAACTCATTTTTCTCTTATGGTGAAAAAGGAAAAATGTTACGCTTCACGAATTATACATGAAATGCTACATGATGACACTAATTACCTTTATCTTATCATCATAAAACCCATTTTACAAGAATTAAATTCCTTAAATTTAACTTTTCAAAAGAATTTTGTGGATCTTGGAAGGTCCTATGATGATATTTGTTGTTTATTTATATTTTTGGCAAAGAAAATTATAAAAGAATCTGTAGTGTCAAAAGGATTTGAATATATATATAACAATATTAATAATGATTCTGTATACCGACATTCGAGCAATTGTGATTATGGAGTGGGGTATAACCAGTCAATAATTAATATAAATTTATCTCAAGAAAAGAAGTCTAATGTACAGACACAAGCTTTTAATTTTATTAAACAATTACTGTATGAAATAAAAAAGAGATTGCCCGACAACATTGAATTTTTCAAGAAAATGAAATTATTTTCGCCCACTTTGTGTTTATGCCAATTGCATGTAAATTTTATTGATTTACCTTTTGTTAATTTATTTTTAAAACCTTCAGAGATTGTATTGATAGAAACACAATGGGAAAAATTAACAACAGTAACTTGGAAAATGTACTTAAATGAAAAACAGTTAAACGATGCCAACTTATTTTGGCCAAAAGTTTACAATTACAAAGATGCGGGTGGTAATTTTGCATTTAGGGAATTGTCAGAATTCGTTCTAAAAGGTCTCTCATTGCCTTCAAGCAATGCTGTGGTGGAGCGAGTATTCTCTATAATGAATACAGTAAAAACAAAATCCAGAAATCGTATAAATGCAAATATGTTGGATGCTTTATTAAGAATAAAAACTACATTTATTTCTACGAAAACATGTTGTACAGAATTTGTACCACCTAAATCAATGTATGACAAGTTTAATTCAGAAATGTATAACAAAAAAAAATGATGTGAACACTATAATTAATAATGTTGAATCATTAGACAATGATTTTAACGATGAATTAATTAATATAGTAAACGAAATAAGTTTACCTGATTTTTATTAAACTTGTGTTATAACTATAATGCTATATGTATCAATACTATTAAAACTGCTAAATAATAATTTGTATTTACTTTTTTGTTATAATATAAAATATAAGATGTTGTTTTATAAAAAATGTATACATTGGTCGAAAGGACTTATAATTTTTTTTTTTTGAATGTTAAGTTTATAAAATATAATGTTATTATGTGTTATAACTTATAACTATAATGCTGTATCAATACTATTAAAACTGCTAAATAATAATTTGTATTTACTTTTTTGTTATAATATAAAATATAAGATGTTGTTTTATAAAACATGTATACATTGGGCAAAAGAACTTATAATTTATACTGTTTATACTGTTATCATTTTATTAATAAAGTTTTGTTTTTTTTTTCAATCATAATTTGTTTAGTTTGGTTCCGTTTAAATAGTTATAATTTTATCTTTATTAATAAAGTAACAAACTGACAAAAATGCCAAATGGTGTTGGCCAAATCCAATAAAGTGACGTCGAAAAAAATTTTTTTTTGAAATTTTGGCGATAGATGGCGATAATTTTTAAAGCTTAATTTTGGCGGTAGATGGCGTTATTGGAAAAGTAAATTGGCGATTTCCTTATCAATAATTCTGGCAACACTGGGGCAACCATACTATCTTAACACGTTGACTGCCATGCGGCCGCCGGCGTCCGCAGACTACTAGCATACAACAGTATTTTTACGGACGCCGGCGGTCGCACCTTTGTATTATTTATACGCCATATGATCGCGGGCTGCCATAAACACACTTATTTGTAAAGGGGAATATTTTTCGTGGCGTCAAAGTTATGAAGATAATGTTTAAATGATGGCGTAGAGGAGAAAATTTCGCGTAAAATGATATATTATTCGCCGCAAACCGATTATTTTATATACATTTATTATTATACATAAAATATCACTACAATAAGCATATAAAAAAAATTCAATCACTTCTTTTATTCAAATAATATGTTTCCAATTTCAATTCTTAAATATAAACATAATACAAATTATAAATTTAATACAAAACATAATTATCGAGACGTATTTATAAATAATAATGTAAAAAATAATAAAAATCCTTAGTTTGTGTGATACAGATTGAAACAACTTATACATGTATAAGATTTACATGGTGCGCAGAATGTACCGTAAAACGGGGTAACTTTGGCCCAGGGAGGTAACTTTGGCCCACAGTTGGAATTTTGATAACTTCTGTACACTGTGATAAGAAATGTGACTATTATCAAAATGTTGTGGTTGATTCTGATTCCTGACAACACTGGTAACCGAATGTGATAACAGTTTTTGGCGCTATCACTTGTATTGTTATCAATAAATATTTGTTTTGTCAACGTTATTTTTGGACTGTTAAAAGCACCTAGCATAGGCTAACTTTGGCCCAAAGTAGTGTAAACGGCCAATCTATAGCGATATTTGGAGGTGAGACAAAGTTACCCCATTTACGGGTAACTTTGGCCCATTTTTTTGAAAAATTTTTTATGGTTAAAAAATTTAAAAATTTAAAAATTTATTTCGCAGAGGGCATGTCTGAACCCACACAATTATGTACATATTTTTTTTTTTTTTTTTTTTAAGTGCAACCTACCTAAAATTAGCTCTAAAGTTGAAAAATGCTGAAAAATGGGACAAAGTTACCCCGTTTTACGGTAGTGATCTTTTTTACTTCCTTCGATGCCTGTTTCGATCCAACTATTACTGTTCTACTTTGATAGCAGTGGAAACATCTCTTTCTGATTTTTCTGTTTCTACCACATTTTTCTGTTGTTTCTTGGAATATGTGTTTGCTGTTAACTCTTGCTTGTTGAACTTCTTGTGGTCCTTGATTGTCTAATCCGAGTATTGTATCAACTAATGTTTCTCGAAATTGTGTTATCTTCATTTTTTTATCTGAATTAATTGTATTGTAAACTATTAAAGCATTTAGCATAGCAGTTCCAAACAGTATTTCTGTCGCCACCTTATGGTACCAACGTATAGACTTCCGAACAGCTGTACTATAGCTAGACAGTAGATCCGATAGATCAATTCCCGCTTTTCCGGAGTTGTAGTCGACAATTATCTTAGGCTTAACTATCGATTCTTTTTTTTTGTTCTTTTTTCCTGTGTCAATCATATCAATATTATGTTTTGTCGACAACATAGTTACATCCCTTTTATCACGCCATTTCGCAACAATAATACCGTCTGAATTTTCCTTACCGATTATTTCCCCGGGACTTAACTTTTTTTTTGTTATTTCAGGTAATTTTACTCTATTTGATCGCAGAGTTCCAACTAGGTGTGTATCATTAGTTAAAAGTTCGTTTGCAAGTGTAATTGAAGTGTAAAAATTATCCGTGACCATTGTACGTCCCATGTTTAAATATCTTCTACTTAGATCTAGAACAACTCTACAACCCAATCCCCTTTCCATCCACTTGACTCTTTCCTCCATAAACTTGAACGTTATAAGTATAACCAGTGGCGTGACGAAGGACTATATTTGAGGCACGTGCCTCAGTTTGAGGGGTGGTGGGTGTCCTGGGGACTGGGGTCCTATCTCACATTAAGAAAATATTTGCTCAGTTACCATTCATAAAATGTAAATACTCCATACTCGTAATTTTGATACTGGACGGAAGTGCCTACTAACACTCGCCACACGGCACACGAATACACGATATAGACCAAGTACAATATTTTAATGTATTATAATAATAATTAATAATGTATAATATTATGATTAATGATATAATGATAATATTATGATTCTTTTCTTTGGGCAACACTGATTAGCAATGTGAACCACACAGTGTTTTTGTACCTAATGATAACATAAAATTATCATTAACACTATTATTGTAATATTATCTAAGTTTCTTATTAGTTATTTATAGAAATTGGTTACTAGTTACATTGATTATATAATCAATGCTCAAATGCTGGTTATAAATTAGTATTCACTATTTCCCAATTTCCCTACACCTTTTCCATTTTTTGTTAGCCTTAGCCGTTACTCGTTACGCTCGTTACAGACTACAGTAATCAAAATTAATAATGCCTACAACTTGTGTAAGTTGTGGTCGCGTTCGTGATGTAAATATTAATTTAACCAATTGGCAAAGACATGTTAATGCTTGCAAAAAGCGAAAATCATCAAAAAATTATAACAACCACACACTGACAGAATTTTTGATTCCAAAAAAACCAAAAACTCATCAGGATAATGGTAAGTTTTTCAAAATAAATGTTAATAACCAATAACTTCCATTTTCGAAATCATAAAATATGATGACCATGAAGGTGAATAACAACATATTGTTGGATACTATTTATGTATTAATTAAAAAATCCATATTGGTTGTATAATTATTTTTTAAATCCAAGATTTCAGTAAAATTACTAAAGAAATACATGTGAATAACACTGTTGCAACAACAGACATCAGTAAAGAAAACAGAATCAATTGTAACAACGCAGGTAATATATTATTAATAAGATGTTTGAATTTTACATAGTATAATTTAATATTAAATGTGTATTTTGAAATTTAAAGTTGAAGGATTCAGTGAAAATATTGATGAATCATTATATAGTAAAAATGAAGGTATAGATTTAAAAGTTGTCACTGAAGATACCAATCCTACAGGTTAGTATTAATTATTTAAAAACCAATATTGATAGTATAATTATTTTTTAAATCAAAGATTTCAGTAAAATTACTAAAGAAATACATGTGAATAACACTGTTGCAACAACAGACATCAGTAAAGAAAACAGAATCAATTGTAACAACGCAGGTAATATATTATTAATAAGATGTTTGAATTTTACATAGTATAATTTAATATTAAATGGGTATTTTGAAATTTAAAGTTGAAGGATTCAGTGAAAATATTGATGAATCATTATATAGTAAAAATGAAGGCATAGATTTAGAAGTTGTCACTGAAGATACCAATCCTACAGGTTAGTGTAAATTTCAAATTAATTGATCAGTAAAATATATATTATTATACATAAATATTGTATTAATAAATAAATTCTAATAATTCTATGGAAGTGTAGTTATAATTGTAATAAATATTCATATATTAACTTGAATACATTGTACTTAAACCATAAACAGATATTCACCATTGCAAGGCTGGGCATTAACGAGTTAATAGTTAAAATTAAGTTAAAACGTTAAGTTAATTAACTCGTTACTTTTTTACAAATTAAATTCAACTTAATAAGTTACTTTTTTTTAAGATTAAAAACGAAAAAAATATGTTTAACTTTTAATTTAACTTAACTTTATTATTTTAAAATAACTTAACGAGTTAAAAAAAATTGTTAACTTGCCCAGCCTTGCACCATTGCTTATTTAGCTATAGAATTAAAGAATGCATTTTTATGGCTTAACTATTTTTATCTTGCAATTAATAATTAATTTATGCAAAAATTTACTTATGCTCAATTCATGCAATGTTAATTTTAAATAGAAATGCATTTATGACAAAATGATAAAGCTTTTTAGGTTTCTTATAAATTATATCATTTTTATGTTCATGAAAGACTGATCGACAATTTTATTTTTTTAATTATTAAGAAGATAGTCATCTATTTCAAATTGTCTTGTTATATTGGTTAGTTTATTATTTTATATTCTTGAAGATCGATCGATTGAATATAAAATAATATTGAAACGAATAATTATATTTTAGGTTTTATGGCATTTTAACTTGCTTTTAATATTCTAAATTTTGTATTGTTTGTAATATATAGGAGAGGCTTTTATTGATGCTTCTAATAACAACTTTTGCTTTGAAGAATATATGCCAAAGACATCCAATAATGATCCAGCTCTTATTCCAGAAAATGTATCTTCTAATCAATTATCATATTTTGTTGAATTAGGACCATGTCAACCTAATCCTTTAGAATTAGAAGATAAAGTATTTCCAAAAACTTTTGAAAAAAATGGTAAATTTCGCTCATTTCATGCAAGTTTTTATTACAAAACAGTACTAAATCAAGCTCCTTGTAAACGCTGGTGGTTGTCTTATTCTCTTTCAAAAAATAAAATATTCTGTATTTCATGCAAGTTGTTTGGGTTGCCAAAGGCAAAGAAAACTAATATTGTTTCAAATGGTTCTGGAGATTGGAAAAATATTAGTAGAATTATAGAAAACCATGAAATACTCCCAGATCATTTGCATTCTGAAATTAGTAGGAGCCTCTTCTCAAAAAACCTTAGATTAGATTTAAAGCTACCCTTGGTGCTTTCTGCGAATCGGCAAGTAGCTGAAAATCGGCAAGTAGTTAAAATCATTATTGATGCAATTATATATACAGCACGGCAAAACATAGCTTTGAGGGGCCATGATGAAAGTAGAAAATCACTTAATAAAGGAAATTTTTTGGAATTAGTTGATTTATTAGCAAACTACCATGCACCATTACAAATACATCTTGATAAAATTAATGCTAAATCCCATAACCGTCTTACATTCATGTCAAATGTCACACAAAATACCATACTAGACATTTTAAAAGAACAAATACGTTCTTCTATTATAAATGAAATTAAAATGTCAAAAATGTTTTCTATTATAATTGATACTACCACTGATGTTGCCAATCTTGAACAATTCACTTTGATTGCTAGATACGTTTTTGAAGGGATTATTCAAGAAAAACTAATTTCTCTGGTAACAGCTGAAGATGGAACGGGAAGAGGATTATTTGAAGTATTTTGTAATATTTCTAAAAAATATGATTTGAATTGGAAAGAACAATTATATGCTCAATCATATGACGGAGCAGCATCGATGCAAGGTGAATATTCAGGCCTCCGCACATTAATTCAGCTAGAAAATCCAAGGGCAAAATACATATGGTGTTTTGCACACCGCTTAAATTTAGTTATCGTAGATACAGCTGATTCTAGTGTACACACTAGACAATTTCTTGGTGATCTTCAAGCATTAATTGGATTTATGAGAGCTAGAAAGAGAACATCGGAGTTTGTTAAGTACCAAAAACTCATTTATCCTACTGAAAGAATCCGTAGAATAAAATCATTTTCCACAACGAGATGGACTTCTCATGACCGTGTTATCATTGTTATTTTTGAAAAATATAAAGCATTATATGAAACTTTAGAATGTTTACTTAAGTCAACTGACAGAGTTACATCATCTGGTGCAAAGAATTTTCTGAATGTAATATCATCGTTTGATTTTGTTATAACAATGATATTATTAAGAAAAATATTTTCTATTACAACACCACTATCAAACTACTTACAATCTAAATCAGTAGACTTTATTGAAGCTCTGCGTTTAATCAATACTTCTAAAGAACAATTAGCTAAGATGAGAAGTGACAAAAAATATGAGGAAATGGTAAAAGAAGCAAAACAATTTGCTAACCATCATAATCTAACAGAAGTAGACTTTAAAGAATCAAGAAAACGTACTAAAAAAATTTTACCTGGAGAAAAAGCTTCCGATGAAGTACAGAGCTCATCATTCGACAAGTATCGATGTCATACATACTTTACAGTTTTGGACAAAGTAATTACTTCAATTCAATCTCGATTCAATGACTCTAACAATATATTAAAAGATTTTACACTTTTATCACCAGAAAGATTAAGGAAATTTAAAAATGAAAATCAACATCTTCCTCAAGATAGTTTTGCTGACCTAGTGGCTTGGTTACCAGAAATTGATATAAATCAACTACGTAATGAGTATATTATTTTTTCTAAAAGTTTTGATGATCTTACATCAGGTATAGATTTACCTACTTTGTTGCATTGCCCAGAATCAATTTCATCAAGTGAAAGTTGTGAAGAAGAAGAAAAAAATATAACTCAAGATGAACAAATTAATATAACAACAATTGGTGTTAGTACTATTCTTTATACATTGTCCAAGTATGATTTGTCAGCAGCGTTTCCCAATTTGTATATAGCATACAAAGTCTTAGGGACTATACCAGTTACATCTGCATCTGCGGAAAGATCATTTTCCAAAGTAAGTTTGATTGCTGATTCTTCTGCTTCTAAAATATAAATGTTCTCAATCCCTAAGCTTTTAATTAAAATATATATATTTAATTGCCTTGCTTTGTATTATAAAAGTTTGGATTTTAAATTTTATTTTTTACTTCTATGGGGCGAACGTTTAAAATTGAATATAGAGCTTAAGATTTTTGTAAAGGTCTCATAGTATTTATAATAACTTACCTTTTCAGAAATACAATTGCATTTTTTTAAACATTAAATTTATCACTAATTACAATTATTATTATTTTCAGGTTAAACTTATTAAGACACGTTTACGTTCTACAATGGATCAGGGACGTTTGGAAAGCTTAATGTTTTTGAGCTGTGAAAGGGACATCAAAATTAATTATGAAGAGACAATAACACTCTTGGGAAAATCATCCGATGTGTTAAAAAAAGCATTATTATTTAAATGAATAAATATATTTTATCGTAAAAAATTTTTTGTAATGTTTTTTGGGATGGGTGGTGGGTCTGACAATATAACTTGTGCCTCATAACTTGATGAAGTTCGCCACGCCACTGAGTATAACCATTAGTTCCGCAAAGTTTAAACAATTTTACACCGTACTTATGAGCTTTTCCCGGTATATATTGTCTAAATAATAATCTGCCACGAAAAGGTACCATTGTCTCATCGACGGCCAATACCTCGCCTGGTTCCATTACATTTTGAAAACGGTTTACAATTTCATCAATTATATTACGTATTTTATAAATACGATCACCTTCAGGGGCTTTTTTATTGTCTGAAAAGTGCCAAAATCTTAGAAGTAATTCGAAGCGATTTCTAGACATTGTTTTTTGTGCCACATAGTTTTTATATCTATGTTTGGTGCTCCAGTAATTACCTAAATTTGGCATTTCAACGAGTCCCATCCATATTAATAAACCCGAAAATAATTTAATCTCTTTTGAATCTGTAGGAACCCATTTTGTAAACCTGCTAGACTTGGAAATTCTATTATTTGATAAAAACTGTTCTGCGTTTCTGTTCGTTTCAATAACAATAAGTTCAATAATGTCATCAGTGAAAAATAAATTAAAACAGTCCCAAACAGTGGCATTAGCTGATATATTAATTTTTAATCCCGGAAAACCATTAAAAACGAGCTGTTTTTGATTATTACCTGTTACATTGGACCAAATTTGAACACCAGGATTTGAAACCGGTAATATTGTTTCTTGTAAATGTTCGGTATCGCTGGTTTCACTTTGTTCATCTGAATCAGAAGTTATAATTGGGTTGTAGGTTTGGTCTTCATCTGTGTCATCGAAATCACTAAATGAACTCCCACTATCATCAGTGTCTAATAATTGACGTACCGTATCGTCATTTACTTTAAGTCTCTTTGGACGTGACGCCATAATTAAAAATAAAAAATTACAATAAAATATCACACGTAATTTTATTATGTACGACTGCCGGCGGTCATATGGCAACTGACTAATTATATTATAATGACAACGCCATGCGACCGCCGGCTACCATACACTTTAAATATCATATTCTTACGCAGACAGACATAACAAAGATAATAATCTGGGAATTTTTTGTTGCAACAACAACATAACACATTAAAGGTATATATTTATTTATAATAATTATATACCTTTAACGGGACCTCTTGATGCAAACACAGCAATAGGCTGTGTGAAATTAGCAGCAAAACTTTGAAATAACAATACCAATCCATGGTTGGCTTTTAACCCTGTTACCTCTACGTTAAATTTTGAGAATCTACACTTAAGCTTTCACGTAGAAATATCTCATCAAATACTAATAAACCACGCCTTTGCTCTTCTCTTAGCATTATAATTTTTTTTTTAATATTTTGAAAAATTGTTCATCGAAACCACATTTTGTTTTGACTAGTGACAAATACTTTCTAATTGTGCGAGGACAAGGTAAAGGTAAGATGTCTTGTTCTCTTAGAAATACATAAGTTGATGATGAGCTATAGAATAGGTTAATTTATTTTAGGTTAATTTTATTTCAGAAACATATTCTGAACCTACTGGATTTTTAACAAAATACGTAAAAGAATCCAATCTTCAGAGTATTGTCTATTTTTTTTTTTTTTTGGATTTTTACTAGTTTTAATTATTTCTTGAATTAAAACTGATTGAGGAGCACTTAGATTTTTTGAACTCATTATCTCATTTATAGATGCATCAGATAAAATTTTGGTTTTCTGTTTCACTTTTTCCAAATCAAAGTTTAATTTTCCAATGATAGTTCTCAGTCTAAGCATACATTTAAAATTTAGATATATATTATAGAATAAATTACCTAATTAGTAATAACTTAATTGCAATAATTTCATTAACTACTTGTAGTCTGTACCTACACTTTTTAATATGTTTAGTATAATTTAATTCATTTACCTAATTTACTTAATTAATGTACCTATGTAAACATAACATTTATGATTTAAAATATTAAATTGTTACCTAATATTGGTTTTTTTCAATATTTTTCTATCCTTCAAAATTATTTTAAAACCTCTACGTCTTCTTGGTGTAAGTGTTCCTCCGATATAAGGTTTCTGACTCTCCATTCTAGATAATCTTGATTTACGTTTGTGGAAATACCAAATCAAAGAATCACAGGATTGACACCTTTTTTTCATATTTTCCATTATAATTGGACATTTTATATGACTCCATATTGTATTGTTTTCCAATACTGCAGTTCGTATAGAAATCCCTTAATGGTATATAATCAAACAGAATGAGATATATTTTATTATTTTAATTGTGTGATAGATGAAATCCGTTGGGTACCTACCAGGAAAATTCATTAAGTTTGGACCACCTCTACAAATTTGTTTGTAGTCAATTATATTTATAAAACTTGATATATCTTTTAAATTTACTGGAAATTCAAGTTTAGTGCTCTGTTGATCAATATCAACAGATAATTGGTACACGTAAAAACAAATTTCCAAAGTATTTTTAAATACTAATTGCTTTTCAATTTTTAATTGACCATCAAAAAAATTTGATTTATAAAATACTATTTCTCTATTATTTGAATATGTAGTCCATCCTTCAGGTAAGTTAACTCTTTTGAAATTGATTAAAAGAGCTTCAAATGACAATAATTCATCATTGTCCACCTAATAATTAAAATTGATATTTTTTTAAATTAATTTAAATTATGATTTAAACATCTTATTAAAACCAAGTTAGTAATAAAGATATAACTTTAGATATTTTTATGCATTTATTTGGCGGATCTCCATCCAAGTCAAATTAATTTAGTAACACATTTTGTGGTTGAATTATTGCTTTAGGTTCCTTTTAAATTATGATCATAATAATTAAAAATCAATGATAGGAGAGCGGGGTTAGTTGTTACACTTTTGACATATCGAATTTTTATAATTTTTCTTTTACCATGATCATAATCGTTGTAAGATCATTTTATAAAGTAACTTCCTAGGTACCTTTTTATGATAATAAAGTGAAAAAAAATTAATTTTTCATACTAAAAAAACCCTAGTCATGTCACTAAGTCAAAATGTAACAACCTGCCCCTGTGTGGGGTAAGTTGTTATAGTCCAGGGGCACATTGTTACAACCTACATTTTGAAATATTATTACTCAAAATAAATAAGAAATTAATAGTAACAGTAATTATAAGCAGTGGTGTAGTCACTGGTGTGTGGGGGGTTAGGAGGTTCTTTCTTACAACTTGAAAAGTATAAACATTTTAATATTTTATTATTCCCGTCTATTGCACTGTTTAAGTATATTTCATAATAATAAATACCTATATTAAGGTATAGGTAAAACAAAATATAAACAATTCTTCATTTTATTTATTTTAAAAACATTATTAACACTTAATAAAATAATAATTAATCACTTGTAATTGATAAGTAATTATATTGATACATTAAATAAATATAGCTACCTAATTTAAAAAACAAAACAAATAGTAACAAATTATAAGTAAACGATTTTCCTTTTTATAATAAAAACATTATTAAAACTTAATAAAATAATAATTAACCACTTGTAATATTAATAAGAGTTTATATTGATCAGTCTTATAAATATTATTTATAAATATAGCTGCCTTGCTGCCTAATTTAAAAAAACAAAATATATAGGTAGTAACAAATTATAAATAAACGATTTTCCTTTTTATAACTAAAAAACAATTTATACTTTTAATAACCTTCTTATAATTATTAATATTATTTATAAAAAAAAATTTCAGTATTATTTGTTTCAGTCTCCAGTCTTTCAATCTTCGTCTATGTCTGAAGAGCAATGTTTACAATTGTAGAATAATACATTTTGTTTTCCGGCACATTTTTTATGTGCCCATTTCTTACATGAAGAACACTCAATCCAATCTTCCCCCTTGCGACCCTTTGAATAAGCTCCTAAACAAACTATACAGAAGTAATCCTCCTCTTCATCTGAACTCACTATATTAGTTTTAGGTTTTGATTTTTTCTTAGGCTTTTTTGATTCTTCAAAGTTTCTTTTTTTTAATTTCAAATTTTTTGCTTCTTTTTTCCTATTGCTTATTTCTTGTTCTTCCCTTAATTTTTCTTTTTCTGGTGTGTCAGTTAATATTGTGGATTTCATTTTTTTTCTTGCGCGGTTGTTTTTTCTATCTCCTGCTTTTGGAAAAGGTCTGATTTCACTAGGTGTTACCATTTCAGGTAAACTTGTAGATGAATTAAAACTTTGTGGTGTATTGCAGATTGTTGTTTGTGAATGCTGTATTCATATGCTAATTTTTTTACATCTGAAGGAGTTAAGCCATAGTATATTCTAGAACAATGAACTAAATAAACTGACAAACTTGACTCTAATACATCAGAAAATATTTGTCTCGGTTTTGAATAACCAACAAGTGTACAGTTTTTATCCAAGTTTGGTTTTGATTTTTTTTTATGTAACGTTGAAGTGTCATAAAGTTTATACCATACTTTTCAGCAGCTTTCCTAAGTGACTTTTGTTGTCGAGTTACTTCATCTACTGCTTGTTTGAATACATCTTCAAGTACTTGACCACGATCTGTTGTTTTAATATAAGTCCGGACCATCTTAATAATAATAAATATATAAATTATAAGTTATGGTACAAATATTTATTTTGATCGAGCCAAGTCGTTACATTAACAAAATGTAACAATATGCCCCTGTCGAAATGTAACAACTTGCCTCATATGGTTTTTTTTCTAAGATAATTTATTTATTGGAAATGGATTATTGGAATTGAATTATATTGTTAGAATATTATGCAGAATTATGTAATGAACAAATATTAAGTGACAAAATAATCTTACCTTATGTTTGTTTTTTGTAATTCAAAACGGCATTCGATGAAAAAAATTAACTTTTGATAAGAAAAAACAGAAAAATGTCGTTAATTCCTAACACAGATAAAATATATTCGATATTATCACAAAACATGTGGACTTAATGATAATAGAAATTGTTGGTTCAGTCCCCACAGTGCTACCATAATTGGAAGTACAAAATTTCTTGACTGTAACAACTAACCCCGCTCTCCCCTACACACAGTAATTTGTACACAAGTATTTAATATATTAATACAAAAGTATATGCAAATTATTAGATTATTTTTTTTAATTTGATAATCTGGAACTTAAAATTACAGGTTCCTATATTTTATAATATGCTGTACTTACATTTTCTTCAAATAATTCCTTACGGCATGATCTTTGGTCATACAATTTGGCATAATTGTGATCCAACAATAATCTCTTACCTCATCTTATAGTTTTGTTTTATAAATTAAAAATAGTTGGAATAGTTCCTTTTTTCAGGCCGCATTTTATCCTACATCCAACATCCTGTAGGTACATTGGTTTTAAACAAAGAGTAAATCTAAGATATAATTGTTACCCTATATAAATAAATTAAGCATTTAATTAAATACAAACTGCAGCAATATCCTGTGGAACTGAATAATTAGAAATTATATCTTCGGGTAAAAAATGATCAGCACATACAAATTTCACCAATGTTTCATTACAATTTGCATTGCTTAAAGTTTCTTTCCATTGCGAATATAGTGCTTTTGGTAGAGCAAAAAAAGAAATGTTTGGTGTGCGTTTTGTACTTACACACCCTTCAACCGAACACTCTTTTACTTTCATTTTTTAATTCATAAGATAAGCAAGTTGTTTCAATAGTTTAATTTAACATTCAAATGTGTTTATTTACAATTTTATGTTATTATTATTTGTATTCCATTTATTTTTAGTATTTTTAAATTTGCCTCAATGGATCCATGGTAGATAGTCAATAGTTTAAAATTAAACCACTACTCGCGCTAGTAAAAGTTAAGGTCCCATACCACTGTGATAACGCCAGACATTTGCGAGTTCTACTCCCCACCCCACTTATCTATTATCGATGCCAGTCCATTATATTATCTTAGTCTGTGGTAGTTACTGCATTTTCTACAGTGTTATATGATATTGGTAATACTGCATTTTATAAATTGTACCACTATATGATATAATGTGAGTAATGCTAACGTGAAACGCAGTAACTGCATTATTATGTGAAAACTGTCAAAAATAATTTATTAATCACAAAATTAATAGCATTTTTGAATTTCTAGCACAAATTCCCATCTTTTTCAGTCTAAAGATATACTTAAAATCTTAAAATTGATTACAAAAATAACAAAAATACAAAAATTCAATTTCCCGAAAAAATGATTTTTGTAGTTACTGATTTTCCCAGTAGGAGGGCAGAACGGCTTACATTACAGTTCCAGATGAAGTGCGGGAGGGTTCTCATCGTTCTCGGCGTTCTCGTCTAATATTAGTTATATAGATAGCATACCTATCCATCAACTTCACAGAGTAGTCGACACTATATCTTCGTCACTAGAAAAAAAACATTACTGTGCTGCCGTCTTCCTGGACGTAGCACAAGCGTTCGATAGAGTCTGGTTCGAAGGCCTACTGTTCAAACTAAAAAAATTTCTGCCTGCGCCTTATTACTTACTAATAAAATCGTACCTTAGTGACCGTACTTTCATCGTACGACAGAATTCATGTTACTCAAACTACTTTGACATTCTCGCCGGAGTTCCCCAAGGTAGCGATATTGTCCCTTTCCTATATAATATATTCACTCATGACATTCCCAAAACCTCCTACACTGAACTCGGTTCCTACGCGGACGACACGGCAATTTTAGCAACGAATGAAAATCCCATTATAGCCTCAAATATGTTACAAAGACACCTCAATATTATACACCTCTGGACAAAGAGGTGGAAAATCAAAATCAACGAAACCAAGTCCTCCTTCATAACATTTACCTTAAATAAAAAAAACTTGTCCTCAAATTACAATGAACAACATTCCAATCCCTATTTACACACAAATAAAATACCTCGGTCTTACCCTTGACAGTAAACTAACCTGGAATCCTCACATAGTTGATAAACGAAAAGCCCTTAATTCCCGTCTACACCTCCTAAGACCATTATTAAGATCTAAAATGAACATTGACACCAAATTACTAATTTACAAGTCTCTACTCAGGCCGCTATGGACATACGGCATTCAATTATGGGGAGCCGCTAAACCCTCCAACACCAGATCAATACAAGCCTTCCAGTCCATCTGTCTCCGTCTAGTTTCCTCTGCTCCTTGGTACATAACAAATTCCAACCTCCACAAAGACTTAAAAATACAAACCCTAAATCAAATCTCTAAAACATACTACATTAAATTTCATAATAAACTCCAATCACACACTAATCCACTAATCAAAAAATTATCATCTAAAACTCTACCCGACAACCCTCGACGTAGACTAAAAAGAAAATGGTGTAGGGATCTCTTACATTAATAATCAATAATCATTAGTCAATAGCTAACGCACGTGCTGGGTGTTATCAATGGATAACTTCCCAATCCTATTATTCGCCGTTAATTTTATATTCTTTCCTATCAAATCTAATTATTGTACAAAAACTGTATAGATTGTAGATATATTTTAAATAAATGAAAAAAAAAAAAAAAAATCTATTTTGTCATGGCATACCCATAAAGACCGGTCGCGCCGCCCCTTTTTACGGACGCACCGACTACACCGCGCACGACGCTGCAAACACACACGACGTAGGTACTAGGTAGGTAGGAACACAAGAGCGCGAGGACACACCACCACCGCCCAGCACCACCACCCGCCAACGAAAACACGCGATTACCCGGGACAGAAATACCACGTAATCGGACTGCCGCCGCCGCCGCCTTCCCTAATCGCAGTAGTGCACCGGATAACGCACATCGCGAAGACCGGTTACTGTGATCGCCCGACAAGCGCAACAACAGCCAAAACAATAACAACCCACTGACCTACATTCCGTACTCAAATAAACACCGATACGCGGTCAACGCAGCTGATCGAAGGAACGCGACATCCGTTCCACCGAAAACAGCCACATTTTATATTTTTCCCGTAAACTCACCGGAAAAACAACCGGACATCATGCCGGGAAAATATATTAAAGAATTGACCACCGCGGAATTACGCTACGAATGTAGACAGCGCTTGTTATCGGATACGGGCGCGAAGGATGATCTCGAAATCCGGTTAACCCAGCATTTCGCGGACCTGAACCTACAGGCCAACGAGATCCGTTTTCCACCTATGGAAATCACTGGGACGACCTGAAACAACCTGGCGACTGGTCAGGTGCCCGTCACCGGACAAGTCGAACATCAACGGCTTGATACAGGCTTGATCCCCGATTGCCCTTTTGAGTCGCTCCGCCAACAAGTCGGCACCGACTTTATCTTTTATTTCGAGCAAAATAGCTCCTGCCTTGGTGCGGCGTGTATTGTTAACCTCCACTCCAATCTCCTGAAGGTTTACCTCAGACATGACCTTCTTCATAACATCAGCGTACGATATACCCTCCTTGGGGTTGCTAATGGTGACAGCCTCTGCTTTAGGGATCCTTTTGCGTACCAGTGCCTCGGCGCTACTCTTTCCGCTAGTGGTTGCTTGTCGCTGCGGTACATCGCGTCTAGGACCGGACGGTGCTCCAGTCGGCCGCTACCTCAGACCCCAGATTGGGGTCCGGTGACTGCGGCTGTGTATGCTGTGACTGCGACTGTGACTGCCGTTGCTTTGCTCGTTTCCTTCTCCTCGGGGGGTTTAGCCTCCGCGTCTTTTCGTCTGTCGTATGGGGCTCAGTGCCACCATTACTAATCTCTGTCTGCGTGGTAACGCTTATACCACTGGCATTAACACTATTTAGCACCTGATCGCTCTTGGGGATCCTGTGTGACATAGTGTTGAAGGCTTTGAGTATTTCATCGCGGCTTTCCTTGAGAGCATTGATGACCTCCAGCAGCTCCTCTGAGGTGGCTTTAACTTTGGGACTTCTGATAATTGATAATAGATGCTCCAATGACGCAGCTTTCTTTAACAGTATTTTGTGGCCTCCATCCTGTGTGATCATACACTTCTTGAAAACTCTGTACGAGTCGCGAAACTCGCTCGCATTATCTGTTAAGCAGTTCTGGCCGCCTGACCCATGGTCAGCGACTGTTTGTGGAACCATTGATGGGTGGCCCCCCTAGAATCCGTGGGGCCTGTCTCCGCGGAGAGTGGATTCCCCGGCTTAGCCGGTTCACAACCTGGAGTAGAATTTTCATTGAGTTTTCCAAGTTCAAATTCCGTTAAGTAGAAGGTCCACATCACCACACACAACGACCCCTACTACGAAATTAATAGGTACTCATACTGTTTACACCCATAGCACAGAGGTAACCGAAACGGTTGCTCTGGTAATGGCGGTGCAAACCGCTCCCCAGAACACCGATAACGCGGTTAAGAACCAGTTACCCAGCTATAAATCACAATCAACGTCGAATAACGCTAAACGAGTATGCCCCGACAAAATTCCGACCCCCGCGGTCGAACTCGAATTTAGGTCAGGCCCCGTAACAGCCCTACTCGACTCCCAACAACAAAAATCGTAAGTAAGCCCGAACATTGCACATAAATTTGGCACACCCCAACACGGACAACCAACTCAGGTACGAATGGCGGACGGACACACCACAATGGCAAATGTTACCACCACATTCGTAGCCAAAATCGGACACCTCACTGTCACCTTCAACGCAGCCACTCTGGACAATTTATACTGCGACAAGCTCCTAGGTCACGACTTTCTCGTACAAAACGAAGTCACCTGGGGAACACCGCAGCGCCCCAAACACCCACCACCCAATCCCCCAACCATAAACCCACAATAGCATTTTGTGTACATAATTTCAGTCGGAACAGCATCACACCACCAAATGGAGCGACCACAACGGCCGACGACACCTTCCACCCTCTAACAAGCGGCGAAACTGCTGGAACGCAGCCAGCAGCTGCCGAGGGCAGCCACCTTGGAGGAGGGCACTAATATCACCACGGCGGTACGGGTACGGCAGATGACCACGGCGGAGCTCCAGCGGGAACCAGTACTGTGGGCCGCCTACACGGGGGGGGGGAAGACCGCACAGCAGTGTTCCGAAGAGCGACAAGGGGCGGACCCACAACCACAGTGAGGCACAACAGCTAGCTAGGTCCCGTAGCCCCAGGCGGATGGCACGACCGGCGGCCAAAACCCGGCCACCCGAGAGACCACCACCCCGACCGTTGATGAAGAGGCCGGTACCGGCGCCAAGGACAGCGACCATTCCACCACCAACAACCGCCTCCAATGACCACCGCACCGACAACGCTACTAGCCATGCAAAACGACCGCCAGCGCCAGAATAAGCAGCGGATGCGGGCCTACAAGGAGAAGATGACGTCCCAACAACATCGCCTGGAAAAACCGGCACCGCCCGAAACCCCAGCCCCAGAGACAACACCAGACCCGTCACAACCAGGGCCTGCGACCCCGCACCTCACCGTTGCCACGGTGCCGGAAGTGACGAACACTACCGGAGCAACCGGAACCACGGAACAACTAACAGTCGCCACCTCCCAAATCGTGGATATGGAAATATCCCCGGAAGAGGAGGCGCAACTGTTAGGAGACACGTTGACCATGGACGTCAGTCTCATTTAGTTCAGCCCCCCCACGTCGCCCAAACATGATTAGACACCACCAGGGCCACGTCCGCTGAACACAGCCGGAAAACGTGCCCGAGGACAGGTGTCTAATACAACCACCCTCCACACATGACACAATACAACACCGGCAACGTCCGGAACACCAACCCCGTTGGCGGTTTGGGGGGAGAGTATGACGCAGTCCCGCGTAATGGCAGTTTGAATTCAAACAGCCTTTACGCGGAAGCCGCGCTGCGGCTTCTCAAACAAACCGCCAATAGACGACGGACGACGCCGGTCGTTCGGTGAACCGGCTTGTTGAAGTTACTTGTTTTTCTAAACGACCCGGACACGGACCTCGTCACGCACGTCCCCGTGAGTCTATGACAAACACACCGTAACCGACGGACACCGATACCGTTTCGCAATTTATTGTATGATTTCACACGTCAAATAAAATTGAACTACACCAGTGTGTCTTTTTGTTTCTGTTTGGTTACCTTCACTCACCATCCACGCGGCACCCCAGAGGTCCGCATCATGTGATAAAAAAACACCTGAAAAAATATTATTTGTATCCAGGAATAAACTTTACAGTGTATAGTTCTTTTATTTTAAAAGATACAATGAATAATACATATTTTATTACTCTGCAACAACTGTTTAAAATAATGATGTAATATTAATTTCACCTCAATCCGATCCCGGTTAAATTTATTACTGAGGACATAATAGTACCTACATTCATTCAGTAAATACGTATTTATTCGTATTTAGACAAATCTATAGTTGATTGCAACTTAACTCATAGGAATTCAGCTGTTGACCGAGTAAGAAATTCATCATCAGATATTTTACCATCTTTATTATTTTGCTCCCAAATATTTAGCCAATTGATCGTGCTTTCCAAAACCTTTTTTTTAAAAAGTTAATAATTAATTGTGAGCTAAAAAGTTTTAAAATTAAAATTAAAAATTCATATTATGTATTATAAAATATATTTACCTCAAAATCAGTACTATTTAACTTAATTCCTTCATTATTGTGTCTTCGATTTAATGCATTAAATGTGTCATTAAATCTTTTAAAAAAGTCTTGAGTTTCTTCACTTCCTTGAAGGCTTATACATTTTCGGTTTCTATAAAATTCTAAAGCATTAGCCATTGAATTACTCAGAACCTAAAATATATTAATATCAATTGAACACAAATTACAAATTTCAACAAAATATTTTTAATATTTCAATTACTTGAGTGGCTAATTTAACACTTATTTTGGATAAAGTATCCAGATTTAAATGCCTCGTTGTAATTTTTTGACAAACTTTTAAATTAATCTGGCCATTAGTGTCATTAATTGTATCGGTTCTATACATTTCCACAAAATGAAACCAACTTATACATTGTTTAGTATCAGATACCTATTATTTTTTCAACCAATAAATAAAAGCAGATTTTAATCAGTTATTAAAAATTATAGTTATTTTTAATCATACATTCATACCTTTTAATACTTATTGTTATATAGGCGATTCCTTACTGTTTTATTTAAGTGTGGTGCATCACTAAAAACATATACTTTTCTTTTGTCATTTAAGTGGATGCATTTAAAACTTTTTAGACTCATCCAATTTTCCACTAACTTCCAATTATTTCTATAAATTCTTATTAGAGGATGCACCGTCACTAACTAAACCATCTACCATTTTCAAGCTGGGCTAGTATATACTATATAATCTTAAAAAGTATTAAATAAATTACAGTTAAATAAACTATTTAAAGAACTTCAAATGTGGTACCTAATGTGTTTGTATAAATATACTTTAATTGGCCCTTTTGATGTAAATACAGCAATTGGTTGAGAGAAATTAGCATCATAGCTTTGAAACATGAAAACTAAAGCATGATTAGCTTTTTGGCCATTATGTTCACAAGGCATATCATTACCATAAACTTCTAAGCCACTGAACGTTAAAGTAGTACTAGGTATTTACAGCAATGCTTGTCCGAAACGAAATTTCATCAAAAATCTTTTGTTGATCATTGAACATGGATATTTTTTTTATTAGTATTGAAAAGAATTGTTTATCAAATCCACACTGATTTTGAACAAATGAAAGATAATTTCTTATAGTTTTGGGGGATGGCAAAGGTATTATTTCTTGTGCACGTAAGAAATAATATGCACTGGGAGATCTGTAATAAGTATGATAACATGATTAATTTAAGATCATATAAACAAATCATAATTAAATTGACCGAAAACAATAATTTTACCAGGTGAGTTTCCCGTGCACCACAATGTTTAATTTCCACATTTTTCCTGCACCATTAATTGTACCATAATTTGTTCCAATTTGTACCACTAATTTCATAATTTGTACCAAAAGATTTCCCGGGGAAAAACCAATTTCCCTCTATGGGTGCCGGGAAAACGTTTCCCCGGCACCCGAAGTCCCACCAAATTAGTTTTCTAGTTTCCTACATTTTTCCTGCACCATTAACTGTACAAATTTGTACCACTAATTTCATAATTTGTACCAAAATATTTCCCGGGGAAAAACCAATTTCTCTCTACAGGTGTCATAAATTAAAATACCTACTCATAAATAATGGTTATATCTTAAAAAATTTAGAACACTACTTTTTCCTTCGTATAAATATTAATCAAAGTTTTAACAAAAAACCTCAATATTAAATTCAAATACTAATACAAAATATGTGGTATTACATACACCCTGTACTTTAATGAATCTAATAACACATTAAGAACAAATAAAAAAGCTTAATATTAAGTTAAAATACTAATAAATAGTGGCTGTATTAAAAAAAAAATACAACACCACTTGTACCTTAGTGATATACATATTAATCAAAGAACAAACAGAAAACCTCAATATAAAATTAAAAAACTGATGAAAAATTGGTAAATTAAATAAAAAATTACAACATCTTGTACTTTGATGAGACATATAACATTTATAAAAGCGCAATATTAAATTAAAACACTAATAAATAGTAGTTGTATTAAAAAAAATAATAAACAACACCTCTTGTACTTTAGTAACATAAATGTTTATCAAAGTAGTTACTAAAAACCTCAATATTAAATTAAAATACCAATTCAAAATAATATGTAGGTACTTTAATGATATTAATAACACATTAAGAACAAATAAAACTTAATATTAAGTTAAAATGCTTAGATATAGATAATGGTTATTGGTTATATTAAAAAAGTGTACAACACCTCTTGTAAATTAGTTATATAGATAGGTATTATTCAAAGTACAAACATAAAACCTCAATATTAAATTAAAATACTAATACAAAATGGTTATAATAAAAAATTGAAGCCTTTAGATTACTTGTTCTATGACTTTTGTTGGTTCTATTCAATTTGAAAAAATATCTGTAACATTTCAAACTTTACGATTTTTTAAATTGTTTTTATTATATTTTATTAACTTTATGAATTTTTTTTTTTTCGGTATGATACAATTTGTGT